TCTAGAAAATTAATATTTGTCTGCTCCTAGCTGCCTGCCATGCAGCCCTCAGTAGCTTGCCAAAGCCAGGAAGCCCTCTGCCCGAAATAATTGCCCACCCCTGGATTAACACAATCCCTAATTAAATTAAATATGTATTAAGGCAGCTGGTAAACAAGTGAAGCCTACTCCATTTTTCCCCCCCTATTATCAGTTTGTTTGAGAAAACAGACAAAATACAAAGTAGTCTAATGAATGACATCATGTCAACTATAAGTGGAGTAATAAGTTTCAAAAAGAAAAAGGAAAAGCAATTGCTTTAGTCCTTTATTACTATTAGAAGTCAGTTGTTTTATTTTCCATTACTACCAAAAACATAGCTTTATTTTTACTCGTTGTTGTTGCTTTAAAATACAAAGACCCACACCTCTACAGGCTGGTGGCTTTGAACAATATTAGTTTGTTTCTTACACGCAAAAACCCACCCACAGGGGTACAAGTTTGACTTCATATCAAGGAGTTCACTAGTAAGAGCAGAGTAGAGCTTCAAGGCTGGTAACAGCAAGTCAACTTCTTTGGATACATGTATGCTACGAATGGATCAAGTACAACAGGTGTTAGGAGTGAAAGAAAACCAACATCCCTGTCAGGCAGTTTTGAACTCTGGTGTGTTCTATACCTCATGTACAGTTAAATATCATGGTTCGTTGAGTTACATATTCAGAGTTGAACTTGGCTATCAGTGCAGATCAGAAATCATGCTCTCCTGTAAACCTGTTTACAAACCTGGTCCTCACAGCGGAGCTCCTGGCAAAAAACGGAAGAAAACAAAGAGTTATATAACACATTACCTTACAGCTCTAGTTTCCTACTTAATTTAATCCATAAACTTCCAGCTCTATAGAGTTTACTGTCTCTTACCTTTCTGAACAATGTACCTCTTGTATTATCTATATAGGGCCTAAATAAAAAAATAAATTTAAAAATGTGGAAGTTTAGCAGTGTCATTAAGAGCTGAACGTATTAAAAGGAACTCCCAGGTTTGTTACTTAGAGTTTGTTCTAAAGTTTTTTAGGCTTGGTTGCAGTTCCCAGACATATTACACCAAGGCCCCAACAACAGGGTGATTAAGAAAGCACAACGGTAAAGTTTAGTGAAAAGACAACACTGGTCAGATTGATACCTGAATAATTCTAACTAGTCCCTGTTGTAAAGAGCTAGATGATAAGAGGGCCTTACATACTGTAGCAGGGCACTGAGGTGCCTGCTACTTGTGGAGCCGTAAGTGAGGAGCCCAGCTGTAGGTTGCCATGGTAACCGGTAGGAATCAGCTGACCGGAAGGGGCAGGGCCTGGCTCCCATATAACTCCCAGGCTGAAGCCAGGCAGGCAGTTGCCTGCCAGCAGCCATAGGGGTAGGAACTCTGCCGGAGTGAGAAAAAGGAAGAGGCTAGAATGCACAGGCAGTTGTTCAGGTGAGAGATGGAGAAACCCTGTGACAGACTTGAAGGTGATTATGGCCAGATGGCTTAGGTTTACGTTATAGCCAAAGGGCTTGAATTTGGGTTGATGGCTTATGACCGGAGGACCGGGTGAGGCTATAAGAGGATGGAGGAGGCCTCGTAGAGGAGCCACAGCCACGTGGAGACCCCAGAGAAGCCCCAGAAAGGGGGCTGCAGAAAGCCAGAGCGCCTGTGGGGCGCGACTCTGAGACAAGGCTGCGGAAGCCATAGCTCCTGTGGGGCATGGCTGAGAGTCAAGGGCTGTGAAGTGCCCGAGCAACAGAGGGTGCGCTGAAAGACAAGGGCTGCGGAGAGCCTGGGCGCCAGAGAGGGCGCAGAGAGCGAGATAGATCAAACAACGTCCAGTACATCTGCGAGGCTGGGGGCATGGTACAGGGATGGTTGGAGCCACGCATAGCCCATAAGGCTAGGGTGTTCGGAACCCCGTTGTATAAACAAGGATCAGGGTAGTAGGAACCGTGACCAGGAAGACGAGAGGCAACCTCCCTTTAACTTTCATAAGATCAAGATGTGGTGGGCGAGAACAAGGGTGCGTTAACGCAAGCTTGGCACAGTAGGGGGTGCTAGGGGAGAGCATGGCAGCCCTAAGACGTTTCCCCCGCCTGGTACACATACATATGAATTATGTACAATGTTCTTGCTCTGTCCTTGTTACAAGATCCCAGAGTCACTAATGTGTTCACTGCACAGAAATATGTAAAGGAACATGCCAGTCAAATGATTCAGGGTGCTGCCATGGCTTGGGTTATCTTTCATACAGACCCATGAATTGAGATAACTTAGATCGTACCAGGTAGAGATTATTTCCTTCAATCCAGTGAGTCCAGCCCTGATTGCTCTTCTCTCCAGTCTGTCTGCAGACAAGCTTGTTATTGTTCCAGGTAACCAAACTCTGCATTTGAGAAGAGAGCAATAGTGCGTTATTTCTACTCTCCAAATCACTCTTCTCTACATGGATGGAGGCACTTCCCCATGCTAGTCAACTTCCTTAAGTTTCATAAGCACATTATAGAGGAGAGTGGCACCCTTCTCCCCAACCCAGGAACTGAAGAGTTCCTTGTCCTGGATCTAAGGCAGAGATGTACAACCGCTACAGTAAAGATTCAGCATTTCAGTGCATCAGATTAGGCTTTTACCTCATCTGGTGAGTACAGTGTGTCCTACCCTGCATTTTCTATTGTCCAGGCTTTTATTATCTTCTTCAAACCATTCTCCAATTCTGAACTGGACAAAGTCCTCTTGGAAAGCATTAATGGTGTGGATGGTAAATGAGTCATTGTTCTGTGTAATTATCTTCAGTGGCTTCGCATGGTTTCCTATATTGCATGTAGCAAAGTCTCAATCCCTTTATAAAAAACAAAACAACAACAAAAAGTTGTTGTTACAGGGTTTAAAAAAAACAACAACACACAAACCACCCAAATAAACCACACACACAAAACCATGATGTTGCTAGAGCTTCTCAAGGAAAACATTATCTAGAAACAAGGCAACTTTGGTTCTTAGTGCTTCTTGAAAGGTTGACAAGGTTTTATAGTGTCTTTCCTGGAAAGTATCTCCTTGAAGAGAGGAGGTACTTGCTTAATATTTTACTCTGTGTTGCACCGTTCCCAGGTAAGATTTCAACATTTAAAGAGTGCTGGTCTTTCACTATCAGCAGATTATAGCCATGTGTCAGTGACACTGTTCTGGCAGTTGCAGGGAGTTCTGCCATTATTAGTACAACCCAGATGCTGTAGTTGCTTTGATGGAAGTTCTGGTAGATACATTTGGCCTATATATTTTTACTACTACTACTGACACCACTACTATATGAAGTCAGATGAAAGTTGCATCTATATTGCAAGGTCAGAATTTTGGTTCCATTGAACTTTTCAACATTCACCAGACAACCATTCCTCCTCTGCAAACCTCCATCATGCACTGGTCCCCAACTCTGCCTTATAATACTGAGTGCTGCTTGCTGCCTTAAGCACCTCTACATTAATCTGTATCCAGCTTTTTTATTTATTAATCACTTTAGCACCAACATCTGAAGTGTGGTTTAAATTTGAGACCTTTCTCCTACATTTTCAAACAGTTAGAATATAGTAAGCAAGGAAGTTTTGGACAACAGGTTGTTCAAAAAAAATAAGCTTGTGTAGACAATAAGAATGCTTGAATTTTTGCACTCCCCACCGCCCCAGGTGTTTTAACCATCAATATGAAGGGACGGCTTTCATTTTTCCAGGGATTGCCAATTACCAGCAGCCGGTGCACAGCAATTAATTTGCAACATCAGGCTCAGTTGACATCAGACACTAGGCAAATTTTTGTTCTGTTTTTTTTCTTTAAAATGCCATCCACAGCCCCCATCCTTGTAAGACCCAATTCAGAACCTTAGCTGCTTTTTTAGTGAAGTTCAACAAGCTCAAGCAGAGGCCCCCCGCTACAGTTTGCTTTCCTTCTCTGGCTAAGCTCATGCTGGGAAGGTTGTTTGCCTTCTATATTCTGATGGATAAAGAGCATCCAAGAACAGTCTCGGGCCTCCTTTGATCTATGGTTTTCTCCACCTTCCGTTTTTGGGGCACAAACTTTACTTGCACTCTGAGTACAATTAGTTGACATGGCAGTTCCCTGTCACAGAGAAACAGTACATTTGGCACATTTATGTGAAGCTGAAAACTTCAAGTTCCTTCCTCTTCCCAAATCCTGGGAGTAGTCAGCTCATAACAGCCACCATCTGTTAGCCATTTAGTGCATTCAGTTTAAGAAACTGGAACATTCTGCGCATTATATAGATACTAAAAATAGATACATGTATGTCTCTCATCAGTTAGTGTTGCTCATATGCTAGTATAGCAAGACTTGACTTTGTACAGCTGCATGTGTGCATTTATCTTAAGAACTCCCTCCCACACAAAATCTTGTAATTTTGAAGCCGAGTTTAATTGCAGTTAATTATTGATCTATCTGAAAGTTGTGCATTAGCCTAGGCATCTCAAACCTTCCCATACAGAGAGATTCTTTTGCCCAGTGGAGTGACCAGCTGTACTTCTTTGAACCACGCTTAGCTGGAGTTGCCATTTCTCAGTGTTCTCTCACTCAGAAGACATGGCTAACCTTACTTTTTTTTGCTCTGCTCCTGTTTTTGCCCCCTGTCCACACTCATACTGGTCTTTTAAAGTACTAATACAGGCAAGCTAGCCTGGAAAGTGACTGCAAGTCTGAGAGGCAGAGGATCCTGTTGAGAATGGTTTTACTACAACAGGTTACTGGGCCGTGTGTGAAATGGATTTCTCTTTTCATGTGGCAGTTGCAAGTCTTTAGATAGAAGTTGTTACCTTTAAAACTCCTTAGTGTTCAAGAAGTTTTATTCTTCAGTTATCAGGGCTGTACTCCCCTTCCTTCTCTTTCTTCACCCACCCCCACCTCAAGAATGCTGCAGGAGCCATGCAATCATTATATTAATTCAATAGACACATCACTGTTTGTTAAAAAGCAAGGCACTTCTAAGCTAAACTACTGAACATAAGTGCAAGCTTCTGATCTAGATACAAGATAACTGTCTACTTTGAGTAGAACAGAGAGAGTAAGTGGAGGCAGGGTAAGAGAACCATAACAAACCACTTTATCATTGGTTAGCATTATACCTCCTAAGGAAAATCTCTGGATTAAACTTCCAACTGTGCCACAATGAAAGACAGTCTTATTCCCATAAATTTCAGAAGTCGGAAGGCCAGACTGGTCTCCTATAGTCTGGAGACCAATGAGTATTGTCATAAGAATCTCCATCCTTGGAGGTTTTTAAGACCTGTCTAGACAAAGCCTTGGGTAACATGATATAGTTGGTCCTGCTTTAAGCAGAGGGTTGAACTAGATGACCTCCTGAGATTGCTTCCAACCTTAATTTTGTATGATTCTAATTTATCTCCATGACTGAGATTTAGGAATTCATCATTTAAGTGCCCGAGACTTACAACTGAAGATGTTGTCACTCTCAGATTATTACCATTGTCATCTAGCTGGAAACATGGTACTTAAATTTACTCTACTTTATTAATAATATGTGGAAGGCAATTGATTTCAGGTCATCCAATGGTCTTAGTATTATCTAGAATGTCAGTTGAGTGTACAGCCCAAGGATTTGTGCTATTTAACCATCACCAAATTTCTTTGCTTGCACAAGAAACTTTACTTTCAATGTTTGGTTGAATGAAGATTGTCTACTATACAGCCCACACACCTTTTCACCATGAGAATATTTGGTATTCGTAAACTTTTCTGAGTCTTCCCATCACCCCTGATGTTGTCCTGTCCTTAGTCAGCTTAGATAAGAGAACTCCAGTAGTTATCTCAGGGAAGCAAAGGGAAGGGCAGTTATGGCTTGACTCTGCTCTCCTGTGGTGACCTTAATTGGATGCTGTTTTGCAGCTATGATACCACAGCTGTTTCTTTTGTTACCTTTCTTCCTCCACTTAAAGAAGACATCTCTTGGCCTCTTAAAGAACTGTAGTTAAGCAGGCAGTCAGGGATTTAGTGTTAGTGATCTCAGAACAGTCCATTGTTCGGCCAATTGGCCAAATCAGATTCAGAGATTTGGCTGCTGCCAAATCAGCCAAACCTCCAAATTGGACAGGCCCCGTCCCCTGCCTGCTCACCCAGCCCTGGAAATGGCTGCCCTGCCTGGCTCCAGCTCCTGGCTCTTTGGGGAAAAAAACTCTGCAGTCACCAGCTGGTGCCCAGTGGGGGACAATCCCCACTGCCCCATGCTACATGGGGGGCTGTGCCATGAGCCTCCTGATCCACCCCTCATGGCTGCCCCACCCACCCTCGCTGCAGACTTTTAAGAAAAAAAAAAACCCTGAACTCACTGGCTTCTGCCTGGCAGGGAGCAATCCCTGCTGCCCCTGACTGCCCCATGTAAACCAAACAAATGGTAATTTCGTGAGCTTGGAGGTCTGACAGGTGTCTGAGGTCCATGCTCCTATTACATGAGGAATTAAGAGACAGTGATATTTTAACTCTCTCATTTTCCTGTTGTAAGTTGACCTTTCTCCTTTATGACTCATGTATATCTGAAGCAATTGCAGATTTTAGTGTAGTATTCCTTATGTCCGTAACAGATGTTTTACTTAGAGATGGTACTTGTACTTGGGATCATTTGGTGGGGGTTGTTTTGTTTTAAAGCTATCAGTTGCATCTACACCAGGATGTCATATTTTTTTACTTGAATGACGACCAAACACACACACACAAAAAACACACTCTAGTAGAGACCTCAGAAAATTGCAGTCACACCTAATTTTCCTTTGAAAGGCACAGCTAAGAACTCATACCAAACTCCAGAGCAAGGCTTAAGAAGACTAGAAAGCTACTAGCAAAATAGAATAACAAATAACATCATATCCATTCTTATATGGATGACACAGGTAGGAGTATAGGGTAGGACCCTTCTTACATATGGATCAGTTATTCTTTTGTGAGAAGAAAAATAAAATTTAACCCCCCCTCCCTTTCCAATCCCCATTTTACAGAGAAAAGAGGCTTTAACCACCTCTTGATTCTAGTAAAGCTCAAACCTCCAGAGGCAGGGGGTAAGAGACTTTCACTTACCCAATGCCTTCATGTAATTGTCAAAGTTGTCATTGCTGGTGTGTTTCCAGGTGCCATTGAAATTGAAAGACATGATTAGGCTACGGGAGCAGAAGTTGAAGCCAAACAAACACTAACTAAAGAACAGGAACTGAAGATATGCCACTTAGTCCAGCTTTATATGAGGAGGGATTGTGGGAGGAGTTGGGGATTACAGCTGGAAGCCCTTGATGGGAGGAACAGGCCACTGAACTGTCAAGGGGTGGGAAATAGGACAGGAGTAAATCAGCTGCAGCTAGGATTATAGGACACACTGTCTGAAATCTTTGTGTGGATTAAATGTTATTGGCACATGAGTCATAAGAGTCATAACCTTTTCCTGACTCCTTCTTTCAGTTTAATAAACAAGTAATGGTAGATGTTGTAACTATAAGAAGGCCTATTGAAAACACATCAGACCAATGGTTGCTTGATTAAAGGACTGCATGTGTTTGGAAAAAGGTAGTTTCCAAGTTATGTATGGGACATGTTCTGACAAACACATTGGACTAATCCTTGTGCTATGCATGATTGTGTAACAGGGCATTTAAGGGGAGAGTGATGTCCATGCTACAGTATTAGAAACAAGACTACATATGCTTCTTGTTTCTGAAAGATAAGAAGAAAATTATATCAACATGTTAATTGATGTCTAGATAGATAGAGAAGGCAGCATTATTGTTTAGTGTTTAGAGCAGGAATCTGTGAGACAAACTCCTGGTTCCTATTCGTGACTCTGTGATGAATAACTTTGTGTGCCTAACCACCCAGTGCTTCAGTTTACATATGTTCTGAGATCTTTTGATGCCATTAAGTATGTTAAAGGTAACCTAGGATCCAGGTACATCATCAAACTACAGAATGCCTGTAGTATGCTTTGTTTTCTCAACTCCCTTCCCTGTTTCCCCAACTGGAAACACTGTCTGTCTGGCTAGTGTATCAACTAGTCAGAGTAAGAGATGGTATCAAGATTCCACAGTTTGGTGCTGTTTAATAGGCCTGTGTGAAGCGGCTAGTATTCACTTTGGATTTGG